GGACTCAGAGGAAGTTCGATGCAGTTTGGGTCATTGTGGATAGGCTGATCAAGTCAGCGCACTTCATTCCTGTGGCAGTTACCTATTCATCAGAGCGGTTAGCATAGATTTATATTCGAGAGATCGTCCGTCTTCACGGGTGCCCGTGTCTATTATTTCTGATCGAGGTACGCAGTTTACCTCGTACTTTTGGAGGGCAGTACAGCGTGAGTTAGGTACGCGGGTTGAGTTGAGCATAACATTTCATCCTCAGACGGACGGGCAGTCCGAGCGCACTATTCAGATCTTGGAGGATATGCTCTGCGCTTGTGTTATAGACTTCGGAGGATCATGGGATCAGTTCTTGCCCCTTGCAGAGTTCGCCTACAATAACAGCTACCAGTCGAGCATTCAGATGACTCCATATGAGGCATTATATGGTAGGGGGTGTCGGTCACCAGTTGGGTGGTTCTAGCCGGGATATGCTCGGTTGTTAGGCACAGACTTAGTACAGGATGCCTTGGATAAGGTCAAGATTATTCAGGATCGACTTAGCACAGCTCAGTCCAGGCAGAAGAGTTATGCCGACCGTAGAGTTCGTGATGTTGCATTCATGGTCGGAGAGAGAGTGTTACTTCGGGTATCACCCATGAAGGGTGTAATGAGGTTCGGAAAGAAGGGCAAGTTGAGCCTTAGGTATATCGGACCTTTTGAGATTCTAGAGAGAGTGGGAGAGGTGGCTTACAGGCTTGCGTTTCTACCTAGTTTAGCAACTGTTCATCCGGTATTCCATGTGTCCATGCTTCAAAAGTATGACGGTGATCCGTCCCATGTATTAGATTTCAGCTCTGTCTAGTTGGAAAAGGATTTGACTTACGAGGAGGAGCCGGTGGCAATTCTAGCCCGGCAAGTTTGCCAGTTGAGATCAAAGAGTTACCCTTCAGTTCGAGTGCAGTGGAGAGGTCAGCCTATTAAGGCAGCTACTTGGGAGTCCGAGTCCGATATGCGGAGTAGATATCCCCACCTATTCACCAGCCCAGGTACTTTTCTATGTCCGTTCGAGGACTAACGGTTGTTTTAGAGGTGGAGAATGTGATGACCCAAAAGGTCATTTTATGTTTTAGAACTCGAATCTACGCTCTTAAGCCTTAAAAATCTCATTTTTATCCTCCTCGATTTACGTGCTCAGTCCGGGCAGGTTTCTGGAAAGCTTTTATGTTGAAAACTAATGAAAATAAGAATTTTTGCCTTAAAAGTTGATTTTAGTTGACTTCGGTCAACATTTTTGGTAAACGGACCTGGATCTGTGCTTTGACTGTCCCAGTGGGTCCGTATTGAATTATGGGACTTGGGCGTATGTCCGGAATCAAATTCGGAGGTCCCTAGCTTGAGTTATGAATTTTTGATGAAAATTAAAAGTCTGGAAATTATTTATTTTTAAGAATTGATTGATATTTGGCATTGTTAGTATCGGGTCCGTATTTTGGTTCTGGAGCCCGGTACAGGTTCATTATGATATTTAAGACTTGTCTGTGAAATTTGGTGAGAAACGGAGTTGATTTGACGTGATTCGAACGTCCAGTTGAGAAGATAGGAATTTTAAAGTGTTCTTGAGAATTTTATTAGATTTGGTGCTAAATTCGTAGTTTTAGGTGTTATTTTAGCGATTTGATCACGCGAGCAAGTTCGTATGATATTTTTAGACTTGTGTGCATGTTTGGTTTGGAGCCCCGAGGGCTCGGGTGAGTTTCGGGTAGGCCACGGGATGTTTTGGACTTAGAAAATCTGGTATTTTGCTGCAGCAGGTGTTCTGGCATCTGGCATGTCCTTCTTCGCATTCGCGAAGGTACTCTCGCGAATGCGAAGAATAAACTGGGCAGCTGAAGTTTTTTTTTTCGCGAACGCGAAGGCTTGGTCGCGAACGAGAAGCGATGGGGGTGTTACCCTTCGCGAACGCGACAAACTCCTCGCCAATGCGTAGTGTTAGGCACACCTGGGGGAGAGTCGATCGTTCCTTCATCACGAACGCGAGCAATGTCTCGCGAACGCGAAGGCCAGGGGGTAGCCTACGCGAACACGAACTCTGTCTCGCAAATGTGAAGGCTTGGCAGCCTATACGCTTCGCAAACACGATAGTGCTCTCGCGAACGCGATGAACACTGTCGCCCAGCACTTAACAGAATCCAAAAATGGGATTTAGCCAAAAATTTATTTTTCTCAAAAATCAAACGATGAGAGACGATTTTTCAAGAGCTATTTCTTCCCCAAATTGTTGGTAAGTGATTCTAAACCATTTTCTTTCAATTACCCATTACATTTCTTGAATTATCAACCTAAAATCTAGAGTTTTCATGGTAGAATTAGGGGTTAGGGTAGAAATTAGGAATTTCGAAAATTTGGGGATTTAGACCTCAATTTGAGGTCGGATTCCAAAACTAATTATATATTCGGGTTCGGGGGTGAATGGATAAATGGATTTTGATCCGAACCTCGGGTTTTGACCAAGCGAGCCCGGGGTCGATTTTTTGACTTTTTGGAGAAACATTTGAGAAATTTAATTTATGCAATATAATTGATTCCTTTAACAATATTTGATATTATTGAGTCATTTTTTAATAGATACGAGTGGTTTGGAGGTGAATTCCAAAGGAAAAGTTGTGATTGAGAATTAAGTGTCCTTCGGAGCGAGGTAAGTGTCGTGTCTAACCCTGACTTGAGGGAATTAGGAACCTTAGATTATTTGCTAAGTGAAATTCATGTGAGCGGCGTATATGTGAGGTGACGAGTACTTATGCGCCGCCAATTTACCTGTTTTTCCATATTTCTCTGTTTTTCTTATATTGTCTCATTCCTATGCCTAATTGCTACGTGTTATACTAGTATTGTTCAATGTATCGTTCTTATCATGTTTACGGATTTTCTGGTGATAATTAAGTTTTTATTTCAAAGTTGAGACTGATATTATGGAACCAAATATTGAAGTAAGGTTTGTACTTGTTATTATATCTCTCTGTTGTTATTTATGCATTGCATTATAGTAAAGGAGAGTGTTAATGCACGAAGTGTGATGTCGTGCCATATTGTGAGTGTTAACACAAAGGGTGATGTTGTGCCATATTGTGAATGTTAATGCACGAAGGGTGATGCCGTGCCATATTGTGAGTGTTAAGGCACGAAGGGTGATGTCGTGCCATATTGTGAGTGTTAAGGCACGAAGGGTGATGTCGTGCCATATTGTGAGTGTTAAGGCACGAATGGTGATGTCGTGCCATGATCTGAGAGTTAATGCACAAAGGGTGATGTCGTGTCGTTTCTATTAATTTTATGGTGAGATAGAGAGTAAAAGCACGAAGGGTGATGCCGTACATTTTTCCTTACTATATTCACTATTCGTGTTGATTCATGGTATATTGACTGCTCCGGTGATCATTCTGTTGTAGTTCTTTATCTTGTATTCTCCTCGGTATGTTCCCCTCCCGACATTTTCTGTTTAGTTCTTCATTTCTGTTATTTGTATATACACTGTTAAATTGTACAGGTGGATTTGTAGGTGCCTTGACTTAGCCTCGTCACTACTTCGTCGAGGTTAGGCTCGACACTTACCAGTACATGGGGTCGATTGTACTGATACTACACTCTGCACTTTCTGTGCAGATTTTGGTGACGGACCTCGTGAGTAGATCTTGGGTTCTACCTTCAGTCCACCGAAGACTTGGGGTAGATTTGCCGGCGTTTGCAGACTCCGGAGTCCCCTTCCTTCTGTTTTAGATTTCCTCTCTCTTTTCATTTCGAGAAACTGTATTTCTTTTAAGCAAATGTTTCTAGAAATCCTTAGATGTTCGTGAAATTGTGACACCAGATCGTTGGGTAGCCTTGTTTTAGNTTGACTTAGCCTCGTCACTACTTCGTCGAGGTTAGGCTCGACACTTACCAGTACATGGGGTCGATTGTACTGATACTACACTCTGCACTTTCTGTGCAGATTTTGATACCGGCTCGGGTTGATCGAGATTTTCCTATTGGTCCACTGTCCGGAGACTCAAGGTAGATCTGTCAGCGTTCACAGACCTTGAAGTACCCGTCTATCTTTTCTGTTCTACTGTTTCTTTCATTCAGACAGTTGTATTTCTTTAGACTATTACTTGTAGTAAATTCTAGAATGCTTATGAATTGTGACTCCAGATCCGGGTGGTAGTAATTAATACAGTTTTATGATATTTCACACTTATTATATTTCATCTTAGTTAATTATTGTTAATTATTGAATGGGAATAAGGAATTGGTTTAATGATTCTTTAACGTTGGCTTGCCTAGCAAGTGAAATGTTAGGCGCCATCACAGTCCCGTCGGTGAGAAATTTCGGGTCGTGACACTTACCTAGCGGGTCGAGTTAGGTGCCATCACGACTAGTGATTTTTTTTGGGTCGTGACATGAATGAATAGGGAGGCTCACATAGCCCCTACCATGACGGGCTGCAACTGGGCACGGGCATCACTATATGTGCCATACTCTCGAGGTCTCTTGGCCTCCCTCTCCTCTCGCTCCCGGACCCACCACTACAATATTTTTGTTCTTTAACCATACCTAAAAAGTGTGGCCTTAACTATCAAAAACTGTGGCCTTAAATAAAAAATCACACTTTTCGACCTAAGGCAACGTTTTTTCAGGGCTGGCCTAAACGAATGTAACATTTACCCTAAGACAACACTTTACAAGTGTCAGCTTTAGAAGCCACACTTGAAAAACGTGGCCTAAAATGTAACAAACGCCATGCTTGTAATATCCTCTATGGCAACACATTTAGGTACTACAACAACCCATCAAAGGCGTGACCAAGGCTACACTTCTCAAGTGTGGCTCCAAAAAGCAACACTTGTAAAGTATAGGTTTTGCTACCATATAGGCCACAAATTTTGCTAATCCCTATTGCCATACTTTTGCGGTCAGTGAATTATATTTTGTACATATCCTATAATCAAATTTAAGTATGAAGATCTCAAGCACCCAATGAACTAGTAGATAATAAAAGAATAATTCAAATGCATAAACTTGCAATGAACTTCAAACAAGGAGTAAACCTCGTGTAATACATCAATGAATAAAGAAAACTGTCTCAAGGGGCATCCTAGCAATTAATTAACTTTATAAAAAGCAAATGTATTATTATAGTATCAGGAATAACAAAAATCGTAATTGTCCAAAGTCTTGATGATTACGTTCCATTAGATCAAATTGTCGTTTGGCCACCATTTCCAACAAATCACCAAGACTTTCCTGCACATTTAAAATAGAATTAGTAATTAGATAGAAATCAATAGTATGCAAGTGCAAACTCAGAGCAATTTAACAAAGTTGCCCCTTGAAAATTTAAATACCAAGCACTATTCTAAGAACATATGTCTGTTATAAGTATAAGACTTGAGCCTAACCTAAACTAGTAGGGGTACGCTATAATACTCTTCTCAATATTTATCAGTTTTCTCATTAGTAGTTTTTTTTTTGTGCATTGGCATCAACACTTTCTTTTGTATTTTGCATTATCATCAACACTTTCTTTTGTACTTCTGTGAAAAATACATATCAGAAAATAGAAGGAAAAAAGAAGATACTTTCAAATTTCAATCAGTTGTGTCCATTACCGGAACACAAGTATACATTCACTCGATCATGTCCAATATAGAAAGACATATCCAAATTAACAGCTGATAGGACGATCCTATTACAGATAAAGAAAGATCCAAGAAAATAATGGGTTTGATGAGTACGACTTTATAATCCCAAATTGATGATAATCAGATTTAAGAGTAAATTACATATACATAAACTTTCATATCTTCAATGAGAATGTAAAAAAAGATACAACTCGCGAACTATGTATCATGCAATATGTAATGGATAAAAGAATCAATCAATTATTCTATCATTAACATTTACAAGTTTCAACTTACTCTTTGTTTCTACCAACTCAACCTTATCAATTTTACAATAGTTCAACATTAAAAGCTTGTTCAAAAGCACCTCCAAATAGAATAGTGTACTAAAATTCCATAACATATCTCTCAGTACCAAAGAGAATATTAGCTTCATCTTTAAATGAAAACAATGTTGGCATAGGCTAACACGTTTACATGACATCTCAATACCTAATCACATAGTAAATATATATTAAGAACTTTGTCCCTGTCATTTAAGTACTTTAATATTGGTTTCGTATTTTGATGCACATGGAAATTATTCCTTTCTAACATGTAATTGTGAATCTCATGACATGTATATGTTTGGGTTATCAATTGTACCTTTGATGTTGTACGTTCATCAAAATCCATATGGAGCAGACCCCTAGCCAATTTTGAGATTAATAATTCTCTGAAAACCTTGTCCTCCTACAAATAGCCACAAGACATTAACTCTATAACTGACAAAATAAACTAGACAGGAAAATCTTATAAATAAATATTCGAAAGACAATCAAAACCACCACAAAGAAAACAGTAGAGATGAAAATGTTAGGACCTCATATAGCAAATCCAAGTGAAACTACTATGCAATCCTGTAAAGGACAGCTGGAAACAAATTTGTATCGATAAGACAATAGCATACCCCTTCCGCTCCATTTCTACTTCCTTTGTTTGACCAGAACTTAAATTGTCAAGGTATAATAACTGAGTTTGCACTAATTAGTTGAAATGTCTACTCAAAAATTCTAAAAGACAATAAAATATTATGTATAATGGTGCAATTGATTTCTTGTGATCTGTTTAGTAAAGGACAATAAACATGATTAAGCATGTGCAAATACATAAACCTGCACCTGCACCTAACTAAACGTTTTTGCATGCTAATTAAGACAGAACTTTATGGTGTGCTTTATATAAAATTCACCTTCAAAACTCCAGTATATCCTCCAGAAATGCTCTCTTCAATAACATCGAGGCAGGCTGTATATGTATAATGTGCATGCCTGGAGAAGTCTTCAAAACATGTTGTCTAGTAGTTTCTAGGATAGCAGATGACTCATGTATAGGTTCAATCTTATCTATCCTTTGAAGTCTATTAGTACGAGCTTTACGTCCTTTTGCGATATGTAATGCCTGGATAGAAGAAATTACTAAGAGGTCTTAAGAAGATACCACATCATAGATAATACCCAACTCCTTCCTTCATCAGAAGTATTGATCTTGAATGATTGTCACATGGTAATAACTAGTTTTAAGTACAAATATAGGTGGAAAGGAAAAGAATACAACACCCGATTCTTCTTGCATTTAGATAATCTTTTAACTACGAAAAAATGTCAATCAGTTCAAACATTAATAAATATTACTGGAAGAAGCTATGTAAGAATGGGCTATCTTTTTTGCCAATTTCAACATAACTAAATCGGCTTCGACCCATTGAATTTGTTATGTAAGAATTGGGGATAAAGCAAGATCTCGGACAAGCAACAACAATCTAAAGAAGCAAGACATTTTTACCTCCACAACTAAATAATTCCAACCTTCAGTTCAGGTAGACCTAGTTCAGCTCTACATGATGCAATTCGAGCACTGCACCACTAGAATAAACCAATGATATAAACATGTCAGCTTAAAAACTGAAGGCTACAATAGTGTAAAACCATGAAGTTGAGCAGTACAATTTACGAAAATAACAAACCATACCCTATTCTAAGAACCTACCACTGGCAAATCCTTGAACAGTAGCAACAAAAGGATTCTTTCTATCTAGAATAACCAACATTAGAACAAATAATTTATTGATAATTTATCTATGTCAGTATTTAAACACCAAAGAACATCTATAGATTCTCAAAAATATGACCAAAGACTTAGGGACGAAAACAAATTAGCAACCTACTTAAATAGTTCAACTCCTACAGTCACAAGCATGATATGGAGAACAGAGTTTTAAATGATTCTTAAAATCTGGAGAAAAATTGTGAGCTTGCAACAGCAAGCCTTAACTTTTGGCAAAGAAAAAGAGAAACTCACTAAGGTAGAGAACAAACTACAAGAGGAAGAAAAGGAGTGAGCAAAATCAAAGTAGTGGAAGTGGGTATTGAAGTATTAGTGGTAATATTAGCAATTACAGAGCAAATTACATGGATGAGTGATCTGCGAGTAAGTCTCTGGGTATTGGACGACAATGGAGATACTATCAAGGTGGGTGGGAAGAACCAAAACCCTAATTCAAGCCTTAATCGAAGAATTCAAATAATCAAAACCCTAAACTGGAAACAACTAAAAATAAAGGGCCAGGAGGTTACCATTTCAAGACTTAATCAAAATAAAGGGCCAGGAGGTTACCATTTCAAGACTTAATCAACCATTAATGTGGAAGCAGCGATAACAGCAGCAACAGAGGTGGTGGAAGATGCGGCAGTAAAAATGGAAATTTCTTCAGCACCATCAATTCGATGGAGGTGTGGGATAAAAAATGGGCAAATATTTCCTGTACTATCCTTTTTCGTTTTAGCTTGCTTTTGGCCGTAAATTTTCAAATTTATTCTGAAAAATTTGATTTGGGTGTCAAGTTTGGTTTGAATATGAAAATGTTTTTGAATATCTGTTTTGGGTGAATTTTGGTTTGAAAAAATATAAAATATGACTTATACCCGTAAGTTATAAAAACTATCACAAATACCCAACAGTACCATTATCAATAACATTTATTATATTATCGCAAACCATAGTGCTTAACATAAATAAATTTGATACAAAATCATCCATTTTATAATGAACTACATGATACACTATCAGATGACAGAGAAGACGAAGCAACATCGTTACAAAATAATAAATTGTGGGCTCTTTTATAAAATACTAAATTTTGGAGTAATTTTTAAAAAATATAATAGTGATATTTTGGCCCGCTGGTTTTGGGATTTGAGATTTGGCCAAAATGTAGGCAAACTCTATGGCCAAACATGTGTTTGCCAAATAAAGTCCAAATTTATTTTGGCAAAATCTATGATCAAACGGGTCCTTAAAAAATAGGAGAAATATTTCTTTCTTTTTTTTAAATTCCCTCCCAAATATTTCATTAGGAACAATAATGGAGGGAAACTTCTAATGAAAATTTTTATTGGAAAAGTTTAGAGCACCCTTATAAAGGGTTGCTTTTATGATTAAGAAACGAGACGCTCTAAAAGCGTTGTAATATAGGTGAGTATGTGTTGCCAAATGTTATTTGAGTTACAGCACTTAAAATGTGTTGTCTATATATTCAAAGAGAATTGTTAACAAGTGTGATCTAAACTTCGTAGCCAAAAGTGACTAACAAAGGCCACCCCTTTATAAGTGTTCTCATAAACGTTATTGACAACGCTTTCCGAACATTGGCTAAAGTTAGTGTGGCCTTAGGCCAAATTTGTTGTAGTGCACATGCCCTCCAATCTCCTAGCGATCTCCACTACCTGCTGGTATAGGATGTCCATCTCCTACTCTTGGGCCATGCTGAATTTGATATCACGGTTGAGCCCCTCGATAAATCGACAAACTCGCTCTCTGGCAGTAGCAACCAAGGCTGGTGCATGCCTGGACAAGTCACTGAACCGGACTGCATACTCTGATACGATCATAAAACCCTGGCGCAACTACTCAAACACTGCGCGCCATGCATCCCTAAAACTCTGGGGAACAAACTCCCTCATAAACATCTTTAAGAGTTGTTCCCAGGTGAGTAAAGCTGCCTCGGCCGGACTACCCAACTCATATGCTCGCCACCACTGATAAGCCGCTCTCATAAGTTGGAACTTAGTGAAAGCAACCCTACTCAACTCCACAATACCCATAGTATGAAGGATACGGTGGCACTCCTCAAGAAAACCCTGGGCATCCTCTGAAGCCAAACCGCTAAAGGTAGGAGGGTGGTACTTCTTGTACCTATCGAGCCTGAGTTGCTCACTCTCAAAAGTTGTTGCCCTAACCCCGGGCTGAACAGGGGCAACGGACTGCACTAGTATGACCTCTGGGACCTGATCAACCTAGACCCGCTGCTCTGGGGAGCGAGCGACGGGAGTCTGTGCTCCTCTCCCGGCCTGAGATGTGGCAGGAGCAAGTGGAATCAACCCTTCCTGAGTTAAATTGTCGAACATGCTCAGAAATTGGGCGAGAGTCTCTTGAAGTGTAGGGGTAGTAACAGGAGTCACAGATGCCTGCTCCCCAACTGGAGCTACTGGTGGCTCCTCTGTAGCAGCTCTGGCCGGTGCTCTAGTTGCACCACGTGCCCGTCATCGGCCTCTGTCCCGGCCTCTCGCGGCTCTAGCAGGGGGCGCGTGTGTCTCATCATCAGATCCAGTTGTGCGTGTCTTCACCATCTGTGCGAGAATAGAAAGCATAGATTTAGAATTTCGAAATCAACAAGTTCGCATGATAAAGAATCAAAAACGTGAAACTTTTCCTAACAATTTCATAGCCTCCTGAAGATAAGTATAGACGTCTCTGTACCGATCCGCAAGACTCTACTAAACTTGCTTATGACGCATAATACCAATGAACCTAGAGCTCTGATGTCAACTTGTCATTACCCCAATTTTTCTCTGTAGGATATCGTGACGGCGCCTAGTCTCTAAGACTAGGTAAGCCTAACAAACATGCGGAATAACTGAAATAATAATTTAAAGTCTCAAAACTTCAATAACTATATAAGATAAAATCTGCAACTCAATATGTACAACTCCCAAAAACTCGGTGAAATATAAGTCACAAGCTATATGAAGTGATACTGAATATCTCTACACAATAGTATCTAAATAAGGACAAGAAAATAAAATAATGTAGGTGGAGGAGGGCTCCGAGGCCTGCGCATGCTGACAGGTGTACCTTGAAATCTCTACGCACAGACTCTACTCACTGACGCTCGGACTGATAGGAAGTATCTGGATATGCAAAAAAAGATGTGCAGAAACGTAGCATAAGTACACCACAACGGTACCTAGTAAGTGCCAAGCCTAACCTCGGTAGAGTAGTGACGAGGCCAGATCAAGGTCGTACTAGAATAAATAAAAGACTGAACAAGTATAAGGCAGTGTAATAATGATAGTAATGAAATTTAAACAACAAATAGCATATCAAGGTTAGTTACACGGAAGTAAAACAAATAGTGTAACACGGAGAAAACAATTAATAATATGTTAAGCAAACAACAGCCAAAGACAAGTGCAAAAATGAAGAAATGCCAACAAGAGTCACTACGGAGGTATCGCCTCGTAGTCTCAAATCACAATATTTCCTTATATCACCGCGGAAGCCTTTACATTTAATTTTAAAAATTATTTTTTCGAAATAGCATCCCGCATTTTAACCCACCTTATCACACGGCATCACTTCTAGTAGTTCCCCTGCTAGCCACACGTATCAAGCCCACCTTATCTCACTCGATGTATTTCAACCCCAAAACATTATACCACCGCATGCGTATCAATATCAGAACGTATCACAAAATCGCACCTCAAGTGCCCAATATCAGAACTTGCAAGAGAAACCAAACGATAACAGTATTTTCACAGTAAAGAGCTCATGGCTCAACCACAATGTACACAAGAGTCTCAACAATAACAAACAAAATGAACAACTCAACGGAATAGTATTTCACAACTTAACACTTTGCCCAAAATGTGAATCATGGCCTTTCTATCTCGATACCAATTTCAATAACAAGATATTCCACGATTTAACAACTTCAAGTAAGAAGTTCAACGATTAAATAATGAATACGGAATAAGAAAACAAGAACTTCAATTAAACATGTAGGGCAATTAACATATAAGAGAATAAGAGAAGTAGACATGTAAAAATAGACTAGAAATGATGACTATAACATATTAAGGCAACTCAATTTTGTCATGAAAGGAATCTACATAGCTAAAACCGGTAATTTCCATATTTAGACAGTGTACACGGCTTTCGCATTTTACAATTATCACAACCAATGCAAATCCTAAGGGGTAACCCCCCCTCCCCTCCTCCCCCACAATGTTAGGCAAGTAACTTACCTCAAATCACGCTAACTCAATCCACTAGTAGGCCGTTCCTTCGATTTTCTAACTCTGAACGGCTCGAATCTAGCAAAAATAACTTCATACTATAAATATAAACTATAGAAAACTAATTCGAATAATAAAATTACGATCTTTGCAAGGAAATAAAAACTCAACTCAAAAATTCAATTCAGGCCCTCGTCTCGGAACCTGACCAAAATTAAAAAATCCAAACACCCATTTGATAATGAGTCCAACCATACAAGAATTACTCAATTCTGACCTCAAATCGCCTTTCAAAACTCAAAATATTGGTCTAGGAAGTGTCTATCATTTTGCCCCAAATTTTTAACTCAAATCCCTAATTAGATAATAAAAACAACAATAGATTTGTGTAATTTAACCAAAACCAAATTAGGAATTCTTACCCCAATAATCTCTCTGAAAATCTCCTGAAAATTCGCCTCACACCGAGCTCTAAGTCCAAATTATGAAATATGAGATAGAACCCTCGTTTTGCAATTTAAGTCTGCTGCCCAGTGATTCCTTCTTCGCGAACGTGGAAAATGCCTCGAAATCGTGAAGCACAAAAACGTTGTTGCCCAATTTTCCTCTTACGCAAACGCGAGAATTCACTCGCGAACGCGATGACAAAATCTCCCAAGCTTCGCGATCGCGAAGTCACACTCGCGAACATGTAGACCAACCGTATGAGGTCTCCCCAGCCTGTCTTTTCTCTTCGCGAACGCGGCTCCCTGTCCGCGATCGCAGTGCACAAACTCCTGACCCTTCGCGAACGCGTGGCCTTCTTAGCGAACACGAAGGGTAAATCTCCAGCAATCCTTGAAGATTCTATGCAAACGCAGGAACACCTTCGCGAACGCGTAGAAGGAAACCAGACTTGTAGAGAAACTAGAACTTCAGCAATCCTCAATGTTCCAAAATGCGCCGAACATGGTCCAAATTACACCCGAGGCCCCCGGGACCTCAACCAAACAGACCAACAAGTCCTAAAGCATTATACGAACACGCTCGAAGTGTCAAGTCACACCAAACAATACTAGAATCATAAATCGCACATCGATTCAAGTATAAGGAATTTATGAACTTCCGAATTCCAAAACTAATATTGATTCATACCAAAACAATTTCGATTGATTTCAAATTTTGCATACCAGTCATAAAAGATATTACGGACCTATTCCAACTTTCGAAATTGGATTTCGACCCCGATATCAATAAAGTCAATTCCCAATCAAACTTTCCAACCTTCCAAACCTTCAACTTTCCAACTTTCGCCAATTCATGCGAAAACCACCTACGAACCTCCAAATCAACATCCGGATACGCTCCTAAGTCCAAAATCACCATACGGAACTATTAGAACCGTCAAAACTCCATTCCAGAGTAGTATTCACAAAAGTCAAACTACGGTCAACTCTAACAACTTAGGACTTCAACTTAGGGACTATGTATCC